GATGTAAAAGATACAGCTTACCTTTTTAATTTTAAGGCCAATGTTACTTGGTTTTGATAACATTGGTCAATGGTCAAGTCACATGAAAAAGTATATATTTTATATTTACACTTAAAAGCAATACAACGTAAAAATCTTACACAATAAATAATTATTAAAACAGAGACTTGCCCTGAAAGACTCTAGATACAGACACCAAAACACATGTAGTCTTTTAGGGCGAGTCTCTGTTTTTAATAATTATTTATTGTGTAAGATTTTTACGTTGTATTGCTCTTAATTGTAAATAGGTCTTGTACATAAGTGTCGTTTTTAAATTATTTATTGTGTATATTTTGGTTTTAAAAAAGTAGTTCAAAAGTCAAAAAGTTTGCCAAGGAAAGATCACCCTCTTCTGCGCACAATATTTTGTTTTGTTTAAATGTTCGTAAGATCTAATATTTTGACTTTTATTGAATAAGTCTTCGATCTCATCAGTCTACAGCTTTCTTCAGATTTTCTTCTGGGACAGTTTTTTATTTCTTGTGTTACATTCTGAGGACACGTTGTTTTCTTATCTTTAAAAGCTGTCATCATTACACTGTGGTCACAGAAGAACGTTACAAGACAATTCAATATATATATATATACTGTTTTCCGTGTGTGTATTTGACAGAATACAGGGATTTTATATACATTATTTGCTGTTAATCTTGAGACGAAGCAAGCATAGCGACAGCAACTGACACCGTCCTTTCTTTTAGGGTTAGAAATCTCCATTAATTATCTCTGCTCAAAACAGTTATTCTTGTTAACTTTGTTAGGAAGTTATATACCAGAATTTCTACTGGTCACTGGGTTTAAGAATATTTGATTTATCTGGACTCGGTTGCTTGTGGATGTTCTCCCCCCCCCCTACTTGTGTATCAAATCTGTAAAAGTACCAGTTAGCTCGGGACTTGTTGTGTATTATCTTGCGCTTGCCTTATAGTTAAATGTTCCTTTCTATACAGACGAAATTTGTAGTTTTCCTGCTCAGGAGGACAAGTGGTGGAAATCTTGCTGGACCTACCTGTACACTCCTATTTTGTCCTTCTGCCAGTATTTCAATGCCCCCCAGTGGCACAGCGGTATGTCTGCGGACTTACAACGCTAAAATCCGGGTTTCGATACCCGTGGTGGGCAGAGCACAGATAGCCCATTGTGTAGCTTTGTGCTTCATTACAAATAAATAAATAAAGTATTTCAATAGAAAGAAAGTATACAGAGGAGAGTAAAATATCAATTCTCGCTCTCTTTAATGAGATTTATTTTCGCGGTGGGCACAGCACAGATAGCCCATCTGCGTAGTTTTAGCGCTTGACAATAAGAAAAGGGAACATAAAAAAATATTATGATGAATCTTTTGTTTGTTTGTAATTAAGCACAAAGCTACACAATGGGCTATCTGTGTTCTGCCCGTCACGGGTATCGAAACCGGGATTCTAGCGTTCCGCAGACATACCGCTGTCCCACTGGGGTACTGATGAATCTAAAAGTATTTCACGATACACTCTATACAAGCGATTATATAAATGCCTGAAGTTCGTATTATTTTATCTGGTAGGGGGGGGGGACAAGATGTTTTGTACCTTAAGAATCTGTTGTTTTTTTTCTTATTAAACACGAAGAAATTTTGTGAAAATTTTAAATATAATCGAAACGTTTTATTGTTTACACGAAACGCTTGTTATTCAACCACGCTATATGACAAAAAAAGTTACATTTTTATTTTCCACTGTTTATTGAAAGAAGGATTTCTGTATGAAATTTTACAGCGTCTATATAGATAGATAAATAGTGAGATCCATCTTGCTTACGAGCATATTAAGTAAATTTCACAACAAAGGGTACGATAACAATTTAAACAAATTTCACAACAAAGGGTACGATAACAATTTAAACAAGTTTCACAACAAAGGGTACGATAACAATTTAAACAAGTTTCACAACAAAGGGTACGATAACAATTTAAACAAGTTTCACAACAAAGGGTACGATAACAATTTAAACAAATTTCACAACAAAGGGTACGATAACAATTTAAACATAATTTCACAACAAAGGGTACGATAACAATTTAAATAAGTTTCACAACAAAGGGTACGTTAACAATTTAAATAAATTTCACAACAAAGGGTACGATAACAATTCTTGAGGCACTTAATACTCAGCGAATTTTTATCCTTTGCAGTCACAATTGTTCAAGTAATAAAGACCAACGTCATTTGTGATGTAAATCCTATTTGTTGTTTTTTGGTGGGAGTGGGATCCTTGACTTGAAAGGTCTGTAGCACACTTTCTTCCAATATACAGCGCTACCTGTAGGCAGTTTCTCCCAGTTCTTCAACAAATTCAGCAGTATTCTCAATGAACGAGGGTTCTTCTCGGAATGTGACCTCGGGTTTAGATCCTTGTCTGAGACGTCCGTTCTGACTTGGTCGACGAGGCGCGTGAAGAACAGCGGAAGTGGTCAAAAACTTCACTTGGTGATGAGTACTCTTAGAAGCTCGTCTGGAATAGGTCCTACCAGAAGCTGGCTCAGCCTCGATCTCCAGTTTTTCTCCTGTTTTCGGACTGATATCAGATGAAGAGTCTCGAGAAAAGAAGGATGGTCTCTCACAAAATCCCGGGATCTCCAGAGTTACCGCCCGCATTCTGCAATATATAAAACCGACAGTAAGGTATTTGACCTTAAGAAAGAAGACAAAACGTCATTCTTTGGATAAGGTCAGCAAAATATTTTGAAACAGGACACCATTGTTTATTCAGCTTAACTATTAGGTATGTTAGTATTAAATTAGTTTCTGGTAAGCGAATTTCAATATCTGAAAGATCGTTATAAAAAAGTAATTAATTAATTAATTGCTTTATAGGATTCTATATTGCTGGTCAATTAATCTTTGCCATAAAATGATCCTATGGGATTCTGAATTACAGAACTAGATAGTCGTTAATTGGAAATATATTGATTAATCGATACAGTAAAATATTCAAACAAAATATATTTGTAAATACTGATATGTGGGTGCAGAAGAAAGGTATTGTTACAACCGACTGTCTAGGAGGGTTTGTTTGTTTATAGTTAAGCACAAAGCTACACAATGGGCTTTCTGTGTTCTGCCCACCACGGGTATCGAAACCCTAGTTTCTAGCGTTGTAAGTCTGCAGACATATCGCTGTGCCACTAGGGGGCGTATTGGAAGTTCTTCAGTTATTGTTTGTTATGGATTTCGCTCAAAGCCACACGAGGGCTATCTGCGCTAGCCGTCCCTAATTTAGTAGTGTAAGACTAGAGGGAAGGCAGCTACTCATCACCACCCACCGCCCACTCTTGGGCTACTGTTACCAGTGAATAGTGGGATTGACCGTCACTTTATAACGCTCCCACGGGTGAAAGGGCGAACATGTTTGCTGTGACGGGGATTCGAACCCGCGACCCACAGATTACGAGTCGAGTGCCCTAACCACCTGTCCATGCCGGGTCCCTTCAGTTATTGAGGAACAAATCGCTGGATTGTTATCTTAAATGTGGTTCAATATCAAACTACAGTGTTAACAGTGTTTTTTTTTTTTGCTTCAGAAGTGTGTAACTAAAAAAAAACGTATTTTTCTGACATTTGAGAATTTTCATCTTCCTTGACCAGCCTTTGTCATGACCAGTAATTCTAGATCATTGGTCAACTTTTTACTAGATTCAAAATTTTTTCTTTGTATTTCCATGTCATACGTTTTCTTTCAGAGCTATAAATATATTCATTTGAAATCTGTTTTGTTATATGAAATAATTCTGTTCAGTTTCACGTAATGTCACGTGGTTTATTACACCGGAAAGCAAAAAACAAAACAAACAAAAACATTTCACTGCTGTAAATTAAGTTAACGAAAAACAGGGAAATTTCAAAAAAATATTTTCTGTGGGACGATTATGTCTGACATGGATAAACATATATTTTATTGAAAGAAACAAAACAATACAAAGCACAAAATAACCCACCAGATGTAAAACATGAGGACAATTTCAGGAGGCCTAACTCAGCAGGTTTGTTTGTTTGAATTTATGCACAAAGCTACACAATGGGCTATCTGTGCTCTGCCCACCACGGGTATTG